ACTGTCCTCTGCAGTCCTCCTTAACTAACTCCACGATTGCCCACAGGCTTTCACCACCTCCTCAGATGATCTCCTCCATGTTATCCTTACTCCAGTGTCAAACGCGTCGTTTCTCATTTGGATTTCTGTCGAAGGCCTAGCGTGTGGTATCGCTTAACAGTCTCCTGTGTTGATGATATTCGATAGTTGAAGGCGATTGGCAGGAAGCCTTGGACCTAGATTTCGTGCTAGTTGGCACTCACTAGTCAACAGGGCGTATCTGCAGCCTTGAAGGAACTCATGTCTCTTTTGATATTCGAACTTGCGTCACCCAGTGGTGCAGTCAGAGACGTTATCACTCAGGTATTCAGGTTCGCGATTGGACTCCCGTAGGACCATGGTGGATATACGCGAATAGATGATGGCAGGCCACCTAGAATGGTAGCCACATTGCAAACCTGACTGGTAGAATTCAGTCTGCACCAATGAGAGGACTAGGCACATCACACTGGCTACTAGTCTCCAATCAGAGAAGTCTCCTGATTGTATGCCCAATCCACTTCAATTTCCTTCGGAATATTTTGTTGAGCAACAGATTCTTGATTGGGTTTTCCCAAAAGTTCCGTGTTGTTTATCTTTTCTGGTTGACCAGTTGCTCTTCATTATCGAGGGAAGACAGGTGTTTCTGAATGTCAGCAGCTACTTGGAAAGGTTTCTCGTGAAGCACCAAAGTCTCTGAACCATGTAAGAGCATGTACTGATTTGACATTAATGTTTAAAATACAATTCTTGTCCGTTTGTGTTGATCACAGCAGATTTTTACACTGATTTTAGATAAATGAAAGTTTCTCATTCTTTTTGAATGATGCTGCCTTTGACATAATCCATACGGAAAATTATGATTCCTATGAAAAGAGATGAACTTTTCACTATGGATAAAATTTTATTTTGATAAAATTACTTAATGTGTTATACAGTAACATTTACTGATGACCATATTTCGAGCACAATTTATTATTGCTCATAATTGTATCAAGTCACTGACACAACTTTTTACTTCATTTATATACATGAGTGAAATTGATGATTAGACATTTGAATAAAAATCAATATGGGATAATGTACATTCAGAAATAATAATAATAATGATATGAGTGTTACTGATCAAATACAATAATCAGATGGGAAATAAGACGAGTGTTTTTATAGTCAAAATAAATAAGTAACTTGTTAGAATGTTATAATGTATGTGAATTGAATTGAAATAGAATACAATTTAAGATTATTTATTATCCTCCTCTGATTTGACTGACTGGTGGTAATGATATCTTTCATGCATATCTCTGGTATTTGCATTGAGTGACTTCTGTTGCATGTGTTGGGTGTAGACTCAATGAACCGGGCAGGATTCAGTAATCAGTCTCTCTCAATCTCCAACTACCTAGATTACTTCTTAGAATTTTAACCCTCTCCCACCCACCCTATTGTGTAGTTGTGCGTTGTTAATGCTGAGCTTTTTTCTAAATCCCTTATCTTCGAGGGGTTAACCATTTCAAACTCACCTAAGTTCTTATGTTCCAAAAATCTGACTACCCCCCGATCTACTAGTTTGGTCTATGTAGTTGACCTAACTCACAGTCATTGCAAGGTATTTTGTAATTTTGATTTCACACCACTGACTAGTGCGATGCGTCTAGTCCTCTGACTGGTTTAAACTGAATTCTATCAGTCAGGTTGTAATGTGACCAACATTCTAGCTAGCGCGCCTTGTTACGCCTTGCTGACGAGTGCCATCTAGCACAAAACCTAGGTCCAAGGCTTCCTGCCGATTGCCTCCAACCATCTAATACCATCAAAGGCATTTTGTAAATTATATTTTATTTTGTTTAATTGGGTCAACCAACAGGATCATCCAACGTACAGATTTTATCTGACATAAGCAAGTTTGTAGGTGTCTGAATGCCACCATAATTCCTGCTTTATTGAAAATCCTACGTAAGGCCTCAGATGACCCCCCTTCTTATATGGTAAGGCTAATGTAGATGCCTTATATTCTCTCTTGTTTATGTTATCATTATTAGTTTCGCGATTATTTTTACCTATCTTGATCTTCCTAATGAATTTTGTAGGATACTTAAATTATTTAACACCAACCAGCGCTTCTTCTATCTGTTTCGTTTCATCGTTTAAGTGTTTTGTCGTACTACTGTGCGTCGGTGGCACAGTGGTTAGGACTCTCGCCGACCATGCACATGGTCCGGGGTTCGAGCCCTCGCCGACGCACACCTGATATCTATGGTCGGCCTGCAAAATTTGGGCTACCGATATCCACGCTGAAAATTCCATACTTGTACCAAAAATACAGTGTGGAATCAAGCTGTAATCAAAAATAAAATGTTTAAAAAATACTTAGTGCTATTGCTTGGTTTGTTAGACACTTAACTAAGCGTGCCTTAACAGTTAACGGATTAGACGAATTAAAGTCTAAATATCTACTAGAATGCGTCATCAGTAAATATGACTGTATAAAAACACCACTGTGTAATTTTATCAAAGCAAAATTTTATCCATAATGGCGTGAGTTATACTCTCCCACAACTGTGCCCTAGTTTTATCCTTATATCAATAAGAGATGAACTTTGCATTCATTCTGTGTGTGTGTGTGTGTATTTCCTTGGAATCTTATCTCTAGCACTATTCATCATCATCGATATCTTAGTAGACGACACTGCGTATCTGATGCATGCTTTGATTCATAGATTTAGATCAATTCAACATGAAACCATCAAGCTGTGATATGGATTCGAACATATTACTGCCAACTAACTTATCCCACTTAACCCTAACTCACTTCAGCGACTCAGGGATTGACTAGCTATCACCAGGGAGTAATTTCGTTGACTTAGAATATGCAGATGATATAGTCCTCCCTCCTAGGTGAAAACACTGACAAAATACACTTGAGTCTTCTGAACACCTTGAGCTGAAATCTTCGAATGTTTGGTATGTGATTCTCTGCTCCTGTCAAATGTAAGATGGTGTGCTACAGGATTGGACTACACTGACTCCTAATTTAGAAATAGGGAATAATGTGGTAGAGTGTGTTGACCACTTCACTTATTTGGGAACCTGCATTAGCCACCAACGAGTTGATCGCTGACGAAATCTCAGCATGGATACAGAGGGCTAGTTTTGCGTACGCCAGTTTAGGCCGTCTCTGGTGTAGATGTGATGTCTTGCCGACTGTCTATCGACCAAAGGGCATATGTACTGCTCAGCAGTTCGCTCTGTCCCTCTTTATGGTTGCATGTGAGAACTGGCCATTGACAGTGGAGAACATGAAAAGGCTAGCTGTCTTTGATCATGAGTGCCTGCGTTCCATCTTCCTTGTGTTAGGTGGTATAATAGGATGAGAAATATTGAGGTTAGGCGTCGAGTGCTAACTAGGTAAGGAGGGGAAATCAATTGACGAGACTGTGAAGCTACATCAACTGAGATGGTTAAGACATTTGGTACACACGGTAGCCTAGCCATCGCCTTCTTCGACGGGTGGTGTCAGCTGACATAGGGTCAGGTTAGAAAACAGTCAGCGGTGATCAAACGAAAACATGTCTTCATCAGTCAAGGAAATTCACAACAGTTAGTTTAAGCCAGCCATTTAGTAAGGTGTGGACTTCATAGTTGGGGACCTCAGGACGGTAAAAACCAATGATAGCTGGAGACAATGAGTGGGTGATATGCCTTGAAATCGTTCTCAGTAATGGCTGGCGCAGAGGCATCCACTTCTTGTGACTTATAATACCCAATAAAACTATATTGTTCTTCGATATTACTATTCTTTCTGCCTCATATCTCTATTTACTGTCTCTGTTTTGCATTTCTTTTTACTTTCTTCTCTGGCTTTGTGTACTACAAGGAGTGGAGTGTGGCGACTTGAACTGCTGCACATCCGTGCAAAGTTCTATGTTGAAACTATATAGACAGACATACAGAGAGTCTTTCTTGTAGTATTTGTGTCGTACTATCAAGTAGCTGAAATACTTTTCAAATGCGCTTGTGTTGTTGTATGATCACTGAAATATCCTATAATCTGTTTTAAAACTATTTGTGAATCGTTTATTTTGTAACGACAGGAGACAAGGGCAAGGAAACTGTTATGTACTGGTCGAGAATTTAATAGTCCTGACGCAAGAAGGCGGAAATCAGAAGACCACTAGGTTTGCGATGATACTTCTATTTTCCAAACACAAGGGGAAGCAATAAGTGGTATCACACCAAAGAGTCACACAAGATTGTGAGAGCGAAATATATATGAACGTCCAAACAAGTGTGTGAACAAATCAATAGACAGTCTTAACATGAATGGCTAATTATAATAAAGTATCGATCCATATATACATAGCGAAATATAGCAGACATGTCAACAACCACACATATAATATGGATATATGTCACCAAGCAACGGACTGTCAACAAACACTCATATTGTATATAATATAAGGGGAATATACATTATTAAAGGAGACAGGTTCATCAAAGTGAAATGGTCACAGACTAAGCGAGCAAACAGAAAGAGAGACCACCATACACATATATATATATATATATATATATATATATATATATATATATATATGGATACATATCAGAAACAGATCGTTCACTGAGGAGATCAACAGATTTATATGTACATTATTATTAGTGTTATAATTAGCAGAGAAACAGCGTCTTCTGGTTGGTTGTTTTCCTGCTGAAGGTTATTCTCTCATCTCTTTGTGGCCATTCCTATGAATGTCAGACCATATTTATCCGCGAATCGTATCCGCCCAGGCGAAGTCTTCTGTGATTAGTTGTTGAGTTAGTCTTTGTTCTTGTTTGTTTTTCTCATGATCAAGATTTGGGATGTAAACATTGACGCAAATTGCTGTCTACCAATTTTGGCTAGCAGAGAGCTCTCAGCACAATTTCATATAATTATTTATTTCATTTACATTTCTAAATTTTCTTTTGTTTTTCTACAGTTGATATAAATGAAAAAAGTTATGAATTTTTGCGTAATCTTATTCAAGCCATTGAAAAAAATGGTAAGTCAATTTTGAAATATCTCCCTATCCGCGTTTTATTTTATTCGGTAACCGGAGTTAAAATTTGTCAGTGCAGTCTGAATAATTTTAGTAACTATGGCAATTGTCAATTTATGGGTATAAAGCTTGCCAACTATGCCTGGGGCTCAATTCTCAGCCGGCTTACTCCTGAACACCACTTAGTCCAGGGTAAAGAGAGAAGGATGGGTATGAGGCTGCCAACTACATCGCATAAGTAATCACTGCTTCTACTGAAACGTCAAAAGACCTTTGGACGCCATGTTCCTGTCAAAATGTAAGGTATTCGAAAAACGAGAGGTAGAAAACTTGTCAATTACTGGTTCAGTAAAAATGTACTTAAAGGATAGTTATTTGTTAGAGGATAAGCATTTATCAGTACAAATAAATTAATACAAACTACCGGTGTACTAACACTGGAGGTATGAATCAGGGAATAATCTCGTTGACTTAGAATATGCAGATTGTATAGCCCTCCCTCAAAGGTGAAGACGCGGACAAAAATACAGCAGAGTCTTCGGAACACCTTGAGGAGTTGCAATCTTCGTATGTTTGGCATGCGATTCTCTCCTGCTGTCAAATGTAAGATGTTGCTACAAGACTGGACTACATTAACTCCTAGCTTAAAGATAGGGAGTGAATTCGTTGGTGGAGCGTGTTCACCACTACTTCACTTATTTGGGGAGTTGCATCAGTCCCAATGGCATGTTCGCCTACGAAAACGCTTCATGGATACAGAAGGCTCGTTTCGCATTTGCTAGTATACGCAATCTCTGGCGTAGATGTGATATCGTTCTCGTTTAAGGCTGTGGGTGAGACATGGCCATTGAAAGTGGAAGAGATGAAATGTCTGGCTAGCTAAATGTCTTTGATCATAGGTGCCTGCGTCCTATCTTCCATGTGTTAGGTGGTAGGTGTAATAGGGTGAGCAATATTGAGATTAGTCTTCGGTGATTTCAGCGACTCAGGGATTGACTTGCTACCGGGGAATAATCTCGTTGACTTGGAATATGCAGACGATATAGTCCTTCTAGGCGAAGACGCTGACGAAATGCAGAGTCTTCTAAACACCTTGAGCCGCAATCTACGAATGTTTGGCATGCGATTCGCTCCCGCCAAATGCAAGATGATGTTACAGGACTGGACTACATCGACGCCTAGTTTAAAAATAGGAAGTGAAGTGGTGGAGCACATTTACCGCTTCACTTATTTGGGAAGTCCCATCAGCCCCAACGGGCTGATCTCTGACGAAATCTCAGCACGAATACAAGGGGCTTGTTTCGCATTTGTTAGTTTACGCCGACTCTGCCGTAGACGAGATGTTCGACTATCGACCAAAGGGCGGGTGTACTGCTCATCAGTCCGCTCTGTCCTCCTTTATGGTTGTGATACCTGGCCACTGAGAGTGGAAGACATGAACAGACTATCTGTCTTTGATCATAGGTGCCTGCGCTCTATCTCCCGTGTAAAGTGGCATAATAAGGTGAGCAACATGGAGGTTAGGCGTAGAGTTCTAGGTAAATAGGGGAAATCAATCGACGAAGTCGTGAAGCTACAAAGACTGAGATGGTTAGGACATGTGTTACGTATGCCAAGCCATCGCCTCCCTCGACGAGCTATGTTAGCGGATATAGGGTCAGGCTGGAAAAAAGCTAGCGGCGGTCAAACAAAAACTTGGCCGAACCAGTCAATGAAATCCACAACAGTTGGTCTAAACCACGTAGGAAGGTGTAGACTTCCAGGCTGGGGTCCTCGGGACGGTAAAAATCTATGGTTGGAAACAATTGGTGACATGGCTCAAAATCGTTCTCAGTGGTGCAGATGCATCCACTCCTTGTGACTTATGATCTCCAATGAAACTGTTTTGTTCTTCGTTATTACTCCTCCTTTGTCTCACACATCTGCTCACTGTTTCTATTATGCTTTTCTTGTACTTTCTTCTCTTGCTTCGCGTGCTACACGGAATGTGGCGACTTGAACTTCCGCACATTTGTGTAAAGTTCTATGTCGAAAGCAGACAGACAGGCAGGCAGTCTTCGGTCGAGTGATAGGTAAGGAGGGAAAATCATTAGACGAGGCTGTGGAGTTACATCTATTGAAATGTTTAGGACATTTGTTACGTGTGCCTAGCCATCGCTTTCTTCGACGCTCAATGTTAGCTGACAAAGGATCAGCCTGGAAAAGAGCCAGCTAGTGGTGGTCAAACGAAAACATGGCTCCATCAGTCAATGAAATCCACAACAGTTAGTTTAAGCCAGTCACGTAAGGAGATGTAGACTTCCTGGTTGGGGTCCTAGGGACGGTAAACATCAATGGCTGGAGACAATTAGTGGGTAATGTGACCCAAAATCGTTTTCGATGATGAGGTAGATGCATCCACTCCTTGTGACTTGTAATATCCAATAGGACTCTAGGGTTCCTCCATATTACTATTCTATTTGCTTCATATCTCTGTCTTGCATTTCTATTTACTTTCTTTGCTTGTGTTTTGTACTAAGTGAAGTGTGGAGACTTGAAATGCTGCTCATCGGTGCAAAGTTCTACGTTGAAACCAGTCAGTTAGTCATAATAGTATTTTTGGGTATTTGTTGTGCATGAACTCCAAGTTGCTATGCTGAGGGAAGCTTATAATGACTGACTCACAGATATGAATTATATCCTCTACATGGAATTAGGAACCTTCTAATGTATACTTGATTGTTACTGAAGGCTTTAATTATATATTTAGAAGTGCAGACTACCTTTTTACCATACTGTTTACAATTTTTTTTTACTTTTTAGGTATTCAGACTGAAGGGATATACAGAACGTGTGGAGTGAAGTCTAAAGTCTCTGGACTAATTAAACAAGCTTTGTGTAAGTCTTTTCTTTTAACATAGTTTTGTAGGGATTTTGTTTTTTTTTTTGTTCGTGAGCTGAATATCAATTGGAGGACCATTGGGAAACCAGCTGTTTCGGCAGCCTAGTTTGCGACTCTTCACAGTACGCACCCACACTCACCGCCAGGGTTCAAACCAGGGACCTTCTGGTTAAGTGGTGGTGAGGTAGCTCGTAGACTATTAAGCCAATGGGATCCGATCCAATCTCCGGCCCATGAATTCTAACTTCTGCCAATTCATGACATAGCGTGACCACTTCGTAGTGTCTTATTCGATGAATTACTGCCTTACCGTTAACCTGTTGTATCCTACTGGTCTGATGCTCCCTAGTGAGAATGGCCGTATTTAGGTAGTTACCTGGGGTTCTAGTGGGAAGCCGTGACCACTAGGGTAAAGCAGGTTGAAAGTGAGCCAGTGACTCATCGAAGAAGACATTGTGAATAGGTCGCGCTATGTCATGAATCGGCAAAAGTGAGAATTCAAGAAAGGAATAAGCAACAGGGAATTATGGCAATGAATACACCAAGAACCTCCTAGTTGACCAAGTTAGCGGAATGAAATGGAGATGGACAGAGCACACACACACACACACACTGAGAAGACTGTTGAGTGCCATCACACACCAGGCCATCGATCGCTTGGAGCCAGAATGGGAAACGGTGGTTCCGTGGGTTCGAGCCTGACGACAACGAGGAGATTGTGTGGGGAGGCGATAACAGCTTTATGGGCAATCGTGGAATCAGCTAAGGAGAACTGCAGAGAATAGTGTCAAATAGAGATATGCTGTTGAAGCCCTACGTTTCACTCGGAACCCAAGGGAATAACGACAGTTATGAGTAATAATAAAGGTTGAGGAAAATAAACCCAGAAATAACCAACCACGTTCATAGTAGATAGCTAGTCAACTCGTTGAAGTATGCTCTGAAATGCAGTTGTGTAGAAATAGACAGAGAAAGCGTCTCAACGATAAACCCTCGAGCTCAAAGAACTAAAGTACAGTCACATATATTGACTTCAGAATAAGCAATAATTAAGAGTTCAAACACTACTCAGTGAATCCTGAAATCTTATCATATTATATGCAGCATATTCAAATTCATATTGAACCTCTGATAAAAATAAGATGATATTTTCGTAAACAAACATGCACTACTTATTACCCACATTTAAGTAGTAAATGAGCACAACACTATTTTTTCTATCAAAATGTGGAGTTTCGACTGGTTTCAATGTATATTTCCTAGAAAACTAAAATCGGTTGGAAATAATTGAAAATCAAGGATCGCGAACAAATGTTTCATTCTCACATGGGAATCCTCAGCATGTAGTGAAATTGGGACCTATCGTTTGCGAGACAAGACTGTGTGACCATTCATTCAACCAACTGAGTAGTGATATCTAGCTTCTGTTAATTCTTGGTATACTGATCCTTTTTTTCAGCCAATGCGCTCGATAAGCGTCCACTTAACCCCATTAAATGGTGAACCCTAATTGCTAAGGCTTCTCAGTACCGCTTCAGGATATTGACTCAGTGGCCATCAAACGATCCGAAGATTGGGACTAAACCAATATTCACAGACTAAATTTATGACTAGTTTCATCATAGAACGTTATACACGACATTCCTCATACCTGTAAATCAAGTAGGTGATGGAAGGAATGAAATTCCTACAGACGTCGAAGAAGACAATTGCAGGGAAGAAAATTTTCTTTTCGACGAAGTCATCATCTAGGCTGTACATTCGTGTATTTATATCAAATGGATGGGAAAGTTCCAGAATAATCTCCGGTTAAGGGTCAAATTAATAAAAATTAAAATTAGGAATTAAAATGCCATAATAAACAGGGGGATGGATAAAACTCAAACAAAGTAGCACTATGATAGCTTAGAAGACTGACATTGTGCAATTAGGGGTTAGAAATGTAGAAATAACAAAATAGCTAGGATGTTTGGATAAAAAACTAATGTGATGAATAATTGTTTATGCAGTCAGGGATTGAATATGTAGAAATAGTAAAGTGACAAAATAAACACTAAGTTCGGGTATGAAAATATGGTAGTGTAAACAGGGATTAAGAAAAACTTAAAAACTAACATGAATAAACAGGAAGTTTAGATAAGAAAGGCGATGGGATGGTCTTTACCAAAAAAGAGTGTTATAAAGGTAGGACTGAGAAGGAAAACAGAGAAAACTACAGAAAATGATGTAATTTTATAATGACTGATTCGAATATAATCAAAAGTTCACACTAATAAGATTAGAATTTCAAGTTTGACCACGGATTGTTGTCAGTCAGAGAACCGAACATTGAGAACCATGGAGTCGTGAGCGGACAGCTGTTTCGACCTGATTTGGGACTCATCTTCGGTACACACCCACTGGGGTTCGAACCTGGGGCTTTCCAGTCACAAGGAAAACTCGTAAATTATTAAGCCATTGGGACTCGACTCAGTGGCTAGCCCATGAAGTCTAACTCCCAACAATTGATGATTTCATCGCGGCTGTCACCAGCCAATGTCATCTGTAGCGATTATCTTTTCTCACTCCCAACCTAGTGGACTCCACTGGTCATTACTTCTAACTAGAACTCCTGGCATGGATTTTTTTGAAGTTTCAAGCTAGGATGAAACAGCTATGGAGTACTCCCTGGCTTTCAATGGTCGGTCCTCTGAATGGTATCAATTCGTGATCAAACTTGTAATAAATCGAATCCCTACAAACAAACTCTTGAAGGTTAGGATTCATCGGCCGGTGGTGTCCACCAAGTTGAGTGTAAACCTGTCTGGTGATAATGCAATAGATCACAACGGATTAGTGAATGTTATAATTCATGGGCAGTTGTGCCACGTCCAGACACCTCAATGCTGATTTGCTAATGGGATGTAGGTTCTGGAAGCTTACCGCTGAATTGTTCTTAGGTACGACGAAACAGTTGCAACTCAACTTGATAGGAGCAAGAATAACAGGAAAGAGAATAAACAGTATTCAATGAATTGTAGAACATCACAAAGAATGATTTTGATACATGTGACTAACACTCTTTACAGACTGGTTCTTTGAAGTGGGTGTGGTTGACAGGGGGGCTGATACAACTCTCCAAATAAGCAAAGTGAGAAACTCAGTCATTTCACTCCTCATCTTTAAACTAGGCAACAGATTGTTTATTGAGAAAATCAAGAGATATTTATGCATTTTTAAGTACATTATAGTAAGCGGAGAAGCAACACTTCATTATTGGTTGTCACCTAGCTGAAGCTTATTTTGTACTGTGTGTGAGCGTTTCTCAGAAAGTTAAGCCATATATCTGCGAATCGTATCTGCCCACGCTAAGTCTGTTGTGATTGGTTTTTAAATCCCTCAAGGCTAAACGTTGTTATTGTTTTTCTCATGTCCTTAATTCGAGATGTGAACATTGACGTAAATTGCTGTCAACAATTTTTGGCTTGCAACCAGCTCTCACCAAAAACCAGACCATTCCTGCAGCATTATCGTATATTTGCTAGGAGGAAATTGCATCCTAAACATCCGAAGATTCCTGCTCCTCAAGGTGTTCAGAAGACTCTTCATTTTATCAGTATTTTGAACAAAGAGAACAGTATTGTCTGCGCACACACTAAGTCAATCCTTTAATGGCTAAATTCAATTAGAATCACATCCACTGGTGCACCCCTAATGCAAATAAATAAAAATGGAGATATTAATTACCTAGTATAAACCATTCTCAGTAAAGGAGTGATAGTGTTTTCAGGTAGACGCGAGACCAACACCCTATGTTTACAATGCTAAATCATCATCCACTAAGTCACTAGGTCTCCAGAGCCATTCTTTCTGCGAAGAGTACCGGTTGCTATTAGTTTAAGTTATTTTTTCTGTGTACTATTGGGATCAGAAACTTGGAGGGTCACAAAGAATATTTCCAACAGCCTGTTGCAGACCTTTATCGACAACTGTCTTCGCTGGCTCTATACTGAAGATCAGATGACCGGGCTGGAAAGAATCCCCAACAAGAAACTATGGGAATAAATAAAACAAGAAGCAATCACCCAACAAATATGCAGGAGAAAGTGGAGATGAATTGGACACTCGTGGCTGAGGAGGCTGCTGGGTGACGAAGCACGTCAGGCCATTGCTCCAGTGGAACTCGATAGAATGGGAAGCGGCGAGTGGGGGTGGTCAGTGCAAGGGTGACATGGAGGAGATCGTGTGAAGAGGAGTTGAAACAGTCAGTGTGAACTAACATGGATGCAGGTGAAGAGTACAGCAGAAGGAAGACAGAAGTGGCAAGTGGAGACGTGCAGTGGAAGCCCTATGTTCCACTAGGAACCCAAGGGACTAATAATAATAATAATTGATTTCTCTGTTGACATGATGTTCTAAATAAATCGTATCTTTTTAAATTACGAGACAGTTAATTCGTATTTTCGATATCATCTTATCTCTCTTTTCCATACATACCTAATAAACAGCTTCGTCGGGCATATCGAAGACAACTTTGTTAAATTATGAATTATGCGTCCTGACTGGTGCGCTGAAACATTTCATTCGACAATTGGAAACACCAATTATGACATTTCAGCTACATGATTCATTTATGTCTGCAATGAGTAAGTTTTTGAAAGTATATATTGAGTGAGAGATTATTGCTGTCTTCACCTTTTATATAATGTGATTTCGGCATACAATCTGTCTATGATTATAGTATGTGCTTCGTCCCGTCTAAGTGCGAAGTATTCTTGCAAGATAGTCAGAAGCCCCCTTCAGATGAACCACTTGACATTTGTCGATAAGTTCATATACCTGAGTAGTTGTCTAAGGGATGGCAGTAGGACGGATGAATGAATGCAATCACTAGTCGTAGGGTGAAAGCTAGCTAGGAGCCATCTCTGGCGCCGTTATGATGTCAGCCCAACTATGAAAGATCGAGTTTACAATGCTACAGTACAGGCCAGTCTTCCACTACACCTGCGAAACCTAGTCTCTTTGATCTGAGAATATGTGGTGACTTCTGCGGATGTTCAATCATGACTGCCTCCGTAGAATTTCATACGATCGATAGCATCGTTGTGTAGTAAATTTTGAGGTCCAGCACTTAAGCAGTGTGCTAGACCATCAAATTCATCATCGACCGAATGAAGGACAGCCTGGTTACGTGCCAAATACATTAGCCATTCAGTCATTGGGTTAGCATCCAGAAACGCATGAGTCCCAATTTCTATCGATCCTCATTACACTGCCATTGGCAGCCAACTAATTAGGCGGAGTTAACCGGTCATACAACTCAAAAAGGATATTTTCATTGATAATTTTTGCCATATCAGTCAAACCCTAAATTGTACGTTTAATCACGCCATGAAAAAATATTTTTGAACTTCACACATGTGGAGATTTGTATCTTGGGGTGTTTTATGTGGCGCTGGGATCTGGATGAATTAATTACACAAAGCTTTCATCATGCTTCTATGCAACATTTTGATGGCTAACTGCATCCTTATGATATATGTGTTATTCTGTTTGTGGCGCTTCGCTTGCATTCAAGTGTACTGTAGGATATGCACCAACGACTTAGGATGAAATTACTTTTTCAAGATTCCAGTGGCATTCACTACTGAAAAAAAAACATTCAAGTTAGATCTTGAAGTGACATCGGTTAAATACTCATTGATAATCAGGATAGTTTTTTCGTCCTAGTTTCGGACTCTTCAGTAGTACTCATTCCTAACTTCACCGGAAATAAAGTTTAGTACCTTCAGGTCACGAGGTGAGCCTTTTTGACACCCGTTCACTGTTGTCAGTTCGCTGTCTAGCTGAAAGGTCAAGGAGCACTGGACTGCTGTTTCGTCCTAGTTTGAGGTTTGAACCCAGGACGTTCTGGTTACAAGTCAAACTTATAGGTCATTCAGACACACTGGTACCCGACTCACTTCCTGATTTCAGCGTGACTGACACCAGCCAATGTTATCCGTGGCGAGTATTATTCCTCACTCCGGTCCTAGTGGACCCAGCTTATCACTAGAACTCCAGGAAACCTCGTCCTGTGTGTAGCCAGTTTCTAGCCAGTCAAATCCGTGCAAAGTAGCTCTTAAAAACATGTCAATGTATTGCTTAAAAGTGGGGTAAAACTTTTAGATGTCATAAATAACGTTTACTTTTATTATTTATTATTGTTATTATTATTGTTATAATATTCTTCACTTTCAGAACGTGATCATGCCTATCGATTATCAGAACTTAGTGCATTATTGAAATTGTTACCACCAGAAAATCAAAAAATTTTGGACTTACTCATTGGACATTTATCAAGGTTTGTTTAAGTGATCATGTGTTGCGCTTTTAATTTAAATTATTTTGTTAATCCTTTTTTGTCCGATGTGATTTGAAAGTCAAATTAGAAAGTCATCGAAAAATAGGATTGAAATAATAGAGAAGATTTGTAACTCAGATGAATGTTTTTGATATGGTTTCGTTTTGTGACTTAGTTTATTTCGTTGTCCTTCGCAAATTTGAATGTGATGTAAACACAGTAAAAGTGTTGTGAAGCTGTAACGCATTGATCTAGGCCCTTATCTGTCAACCAGTGGATCACAGGTTCGAACACTGCATTATGCAATGAGGTTTGAACATCCCCCGGGTGGTATTAACATGCAATCATACAATAGGCGTGGTTCATTGCCAGCTAGCTTCATGCAATCCCAAGTGTTTGTTGAATAACACAGTCTGTTATTTGAGTTGACTGTGACACTGTTGTCAAGATAGACAATGAAAGCTTCGCAGTTATAAATTAAACCAGCTCACACAACTCAATCATTGAACAAATAAGTAATACGTCTTTTTTTTTGTTTTGTCAATTGACTTCATGAAATGGACTAGTAGGCAGTGATGTACACTTTCCAATATTTGGTAATTTACAGGACAATATAAGCTTCGGTGTTTGCCGTTTACACAGTTCACTTTTTCACAAGTTAGATGTTTCTACTTGTTACTTTAAGTAGCAATCTAGAAAGCAAGCATAGATGCATAACGCCATATACTACTAGCCGATTGAAATGAGTAGTTCTATACCACTCACATCAACAATCAATACTGTTCAACCATTCATATCAATCTATCAGTAGTATGTATAGTGTCATGCACTGAAGTTATTATGTTAGATACTAAGGTAGTAACTAGCCGCCACCTACAAGACCAGACTATGTATAAACTTCCATGGATGTATGTAGCTTTCATTGGTGAGTTTTCATGTGGAAGCGTTGAGGAGACGCATTTTTCTTTAACCTATGTCACAGATTACCAGTTACTGGGATCTTTTATCACTAACTTTTTAACAGTTATTCATCAGTTTTGTTTGAATAAGGTTGCAATGAATAATACTGTATTATAAAGTATTATGTCCTTTTTAGAAAACAGACAAACAAACTAGCGCTTTAGGAAAACTAAAAACGGTTGAAGAAATCTCCTTCTTGTCGAAAAAGATTTCGTTATTGATTAGTAAAGTGTACATAAAAACATAGCGAAATTATTCGGATTTAAGGCTATGTACCTGTGTCACAGTTGAATGTATTCAGAGGTATTTTTTCCCCTGGACTCTTTCACTTTCCATCTACATGGCTTCTAGAGAAGGAGGAAACGACCCACTGAGGAAAGTAAAGGTAATCGATAAGATTTGGAAAGCTATGGCTCACTAGTCTAAGCCTTCGATTTTCAACCAGACAGTCATGGATATGAACCCCGCTACACCTCCTGAGGCTTGGTTAGCCAGTAGATAGTATCGCTAGACTTTACACAGTAGGTGTAGCTCGTTACCAACTGCAGGGAATTGCAATCATTTGTCACAGGATAGTATTTCTGGATTCTGATACTAAACAGCCTGAGGCCGAGGTAAACTTTAAGAACCATGACCTGCCGATGGAGTGCGATTGCGCCAATGACCTTGAAACCTTCACTGAGCGAGTCAGTGAAACCTGGTAAATAATGTTGTCATCATGATCAAAATATGCTCATAGAAGTGTTATGCTCTTAAATGGGATATCTGGCAAGTTTCAGCTTAGTTATGAGAAAGATTAAGTTACGCTTTAAGCCAACGAAAAGTTAGGGTTAATTTAACCTAATAAAGGCGACAATAGGGTTGATTCGAGTTAGCTTACAGTTAGTTTAAGGATATTTTCAAATTAGAGTTAGGTTCTGGAAAGATCAGAGTTATTGTTACGGGAGGGTTAGAAGACCTAAATAATTACATACGTAGAACGTGTTTAAATTACTCTGTTGATATAATAATAGAACTTGTACACTGTGGTGGTGGTGTTGTATAATTCCATTGTGGGTAAAATTTATTTTGATAAAGTCTCACAGTGTTTGTTATACAGTCATATTTACTGATGACCACGTTTGGAGGACAGTTTATTGCCCAGTAAATATTACTGTATAACACTGTGAGACTTTATCAAAATATATTTTCTCCGCAATGGAATTATACTCTTCAGTTACTCCAACCTAAAACTGAGAGCAATTTTTACCACATGTGAGAGAAAGGTGTCCTCTGTAACACTTTTATTTTTATTATTTCATTAATATATGTATTCCATACACAAAAACGCCTCCTTCATGTGATTGGTGTGCTCGAGGTCATTCTCTGATTGGTAGTAGTTAGTGGTGCTTAAAGTTTAACATAGATAATGAAGTAATAAAGTAATGTAACACATAAGTATCAGCATCTTCAAAATTTCACAGCAGATTTGTGGTGAGATATGTGTGCAAGACGAAATTGCATGCAACAATTGACGTTAGTGTTTACGTCCCGAAGACAAGAGCAAAGCCTAACCTTGAGGAACTCAACAATCAAACACAGCAGACTTAGCGTGGGCGGATACGATTCGCAGATATATCACCTGACTGTCTAGGATACGGTCACAAAGAGATGGCAGAATAACCTTCAGCAGGAAAGCAAGCCATCAGAAGACATTGCTTCTCTGATAATATTAACGAATAATAATGTACATAAAAATCTATAATCTCCTTGTCCCTCTTGTCTTCTGTCGTTACAGATTAACTATTTCAATTGCTTTTTCGAGAGATTGGGTTGGTTTCTAGTTTTATCACGAATTCGTAACCAATGAAGTCCAATAAGTTGTGTGGTGGTGGTGGTGGTGACGCAATATATCACAAATCGGCGAAATACAGAATTCATGGACCATTAAGTGGCATAATAGGATGAGTAATACTGAAGTTGGACGTCGAATGCTACCTAAGGAGAGAAAATCAATCGACCAGGTTGTGAAGGTACATCGATTGAGGCGATGGTTAAGACATGTGTTGCAATTGCCATGCTTCACCATCGCTTTCCTCCACAACGGGCAATGTTAGTTAACATGGGATAGATCAGGTCGGAAAAGAGTTAGCACGAGGTGGTCAAACCAAAACATGGCTACATCAGTCAGCGAAATCCATAACAACAGTTAGTGTAGGCCAGCCAACCTTGTAGGGAAGTGTAGACCGTCTGCCTGTCTGGTTGGGACCTTCGAGATGGTAACAAGCAATGAAGACTGGAGACAATCAGCGGGTGATATGACTCAAAATCTTTGTGATTTGTGATATCCAGTAAAATTCCAGGGTTCTTCGATTTCACTATTCTTCTTCGTTCACCCACACCTCTCTCTCTCTCTTGAGTCTCTCTTTACACTCTTTTGCTATGTGTTCTACATGGAGGGAGAGTGGCAACTGGAACTGCTGGATGTCGATGCAAATTTCTCTGTTGAAACCAGTCAGCCATTTGATGTTCAGCGAGCTCATAATACTATTTGAATTCCCTGGAATCAACCCCCGGCAGTGGTATGATGCGTGAGTGCTTCTAAAGAATCCCAAACAAGGACGAAACAGCTCTCTAGTATTCCTAGTTGAATTTTTTCATTCACCTGATTCTCTTTGCTCTTATTATCATTTTCTTTTTGCATATATTCCCACAGAGTTGCCTCGAACAGTCATTTAAATCATATGAATCCAAGTAATTTGGGCATTGTATTCGCACCATCATTATTTCGTTCACGTGAAGAATCTGTCGCAGCGATAATGTCCACGAAATTTGCTTCCACTGCTGTTGAATTGATGATTATCAACTATTCAAGTCTATTTCCTATTCATTCGTCTAAGATATTAGCACCAGTGCATAATTCAACTTCATCAGAGACTACACCGAATGGAACATCTACTGATACTATTACTACTCCTGCTGAATATACTACTAATAACTATTGTCCTGTGAGTAGTATTAGTAGTAGTAGTGGTGGTGTGTTAACAACAAGTAGTCAATGTAGCAGTCATGCAATGATGAATGGTGAAAATATCATAGAACCTGTTTATACTACTCCAGTTATTGGTAACGGTCATTTACCCAGTAAGTGTAGCTATTTAAATTGATAAACTTTATCTGTTTTGTATTTTACCGGATCGTTCATTCTCATCTTCAATATATTCATTGTTCAGACATTTAGAAAAAATCCCCATTTAGACATTTAGAAAACAGAGAGATTGAGCGAGCGAAGGAAGAAATATTTACTTTTCAATTGGATCCTCATCTCTCTCTCTCTGGCTCTACTCTAATATACACGTTGTAGCATTTTTATTACAATACACAACAATTTTCCAATCATCAAGTGGTACTGATATGTTTGTTAACAATAATTAAACAGTGTCAAAATGTCAATGGGTTAATAATAATTAACGAAGAAAATCAATACACACACTTAAAAGGTAGAAATGGTTAGAATAAATTAATTTGACAAGGATAGCACGTAAATTAAAGATGAAGTGGTCAAAATAAATAAAAAAATAAAATAATTTGGACAATTATAATTTTTTATAGGTTTAGGGGGAGGGGGCGGGGCGACGTAGTCCCGTCTATCCATTCCTGTGATGCTGGCCACGATAGGGAAAGTGGCTGTAGAAATTTTTTCTGTACACACATAGGCTTGGCTTCTTCAGGTGGATTCCGATTGCTTCAGCTGTCTGTAAAAGATGAACTCGCAGAGCAAAATTAGGGTTAGTAAGAATGCGATAAATAATTTTAAATGCAGTATTCACATCAACCTTATGCTAAGTATCAACAAGGTCTATTCGTAGTTCTATTTCACCCCATCTCGTTGATACTAAGCATAAGGTTGATGTGAATACTGCATTTAAAATTATTTATCGCATTCTTACTAACCCTAATTTTGCTCTGCGAGTTCGTCTTCTACAGACAGCTGAAGCAATCGGAATTCACCTGAAGAAGCCAAGCCTATACGTACAGAAAAAATTTGTACGGTCACTTTCCCTATCGTTATTTTATTTTTTTATTTATTTTGACCACTTCATCTTTAATTTACGTGCTATCCTTGTCAAATTAATTTATTCTAACCATTTCTACCTTTTAAGTGTGTGTATTGATTTTCTTCGTTAATTATTATTAACCCATTGACATTTTGACACTATTTAATTATTGTTAACAAACATATCAGTACCACTTGATGATTGGAAAATTGTTGTGTATTGTAATAAAAATGCTACAACGTGTATATTAGAGTAGAGCCAGAGAGAGAGATGAGGATCTAATTGATAAGTAAATGCTTAGAAAAAAGAACAAGACGAAAATTGAGCAAAGAATATCCTTTTCGAGAAGTTCCTCTTCTGGCTTTACATCTATGCGTAAATATGTTGATATCCATAGAATATTCTAGAATAGTAGTCAATAACAATATTAGTTTCTTATAGTTTGGTTTGTAAGGGTTAGTTATGCTTTTACGAGTTGATTACGGATTGATTAATATCAGTTAGATAATCATTGGATGGATGTCGCACCTACGACACTGGTTGATGCCAGTCGCGCTAAATGCATCACGAATCGGTAGAAGTTAGAATTCATGTGTTGGACATTGAGGAATCGGGTCGGATCTCAGTGGCTGAGGGGTATACGAGTCAGCTAGCTTGCCTTGTAACCGGAAGGTCGTGGGTTTGAACGCCACCGTGGTGGGTGCGTACTGCCGATGATTCCCAAAAGTAGGATGAAACAGCTGGCTATCCAGTACTCGTTGCTGGTTTTCAATGGTTCTCTAACTGATGTCAATCCATGATCAACTCGGAAAAAATAATATTAGTGTTTTTTCTATATAATATCGATTTGTTAAGTAAGATCACAATGGAATTAGTTCCCTAAAGTTGCTTAAATTATAATAATAATAATAATAATAAGCATAAAAATGTAATAGTAAATAGAATATCAACTAAAACTAAGGAGATTTCCACATCAACAAATTGAGGACCATTCAAAACTAGATGGCCAAAGTAACAATAATGTCTGAACTAGCTTCTTTTGGACGCATAAATTAGGCTTCTTATTGTGGATCCTAACAGCCAGCCTCAACAATATTTAGTAAACGAACGTCTTAAGGCGAAGTCAAGATTTGTTGGTTGCGATGCGGTAAATGACTTTGAAATCCACCTCGTTAACATCAATCTTGTGTTCCGTATCCACAAGATGAGATAGAAAATAGCGGAAACATTAAGAAGACTGAAACGACAAGGTTTTATTTCACTGAAACCCACTGGAACGTTTACATCACGATTGTATGGCTCGCCTAAAGTGCACAAAAATGGTGTACCACTTCACCATACCATCCTGTAGCCAGATGGTTAGTCGAACTCTTACAAACAATTCCTAAAAAGGCCTTATTCTTGCAAATTCAGTTCCTCGGGGACAACATCAGCGAGATACTAACACAGCGCCTTAGAAATGCGGTAAAACGAAGAGCATTCCCTGCTGCTGAAACCACTCCTCTTTTGTTTTTGGGAGTAAAAGGTAAACTGCTTAATTTCGCCTTTTCTGTGTGTATCTACCAATTTAACTGCTCCTGTGGAGTCAGTTAGCAGCTGCCTAGGCCGTACAATTAGGCGTGTTCCTCGTCGAATTTTCGAACATCACTCTGCACAGTGGTTAAGTAGAGGACAAACAAAATCCATTCTTAGCGCTATTCCATCTCATCTTGTGGATGTAGAACACAAGATTGATGTCAACAAGGCGGCTTTCAATGTCATTTACCGCATACCAACAAATCCCAGTTTCAAACTGTTAAAAGTAAACTTAGTTTGGACAAATATCATACATAAACAATATAGATTGTGAGTCATAATGAACTAACGATCAATATACATATAACAAAATATATCAAACTGGCAAAACAGGGCAGATACAACGTGACAACATATCAACAACATGTCTGTCGCACTACTGAGATCAGTGATGAGTTGAATTTTCCAGCAGACTTCAACTCCAGCAAACAAACAGAGACCTACGCTATTTTTTTTCTGTAAAACCCCTCTTTTGGTTACAACAGCAGTAATTATTATTAATAATCACATTCATCGCTAAGTATATTGCAATCAGTTAGGCATAATCATGTTGTAAAATACAACTAGCTCACTTTTTGTTTTTGCCGCCTAACCCTAAAATTTCGCCAGTTTGATTGGCGAACGTATCGATATCAAGTTGGATGTCATAATCAGTGCAGTTGAATTTTAATCTTTTTTCTTTTCTTCTTAGTTTGAATGCTTTCATTCAAAATGATAAATTACTTGCACATATTGCATGCATGCTTGATATTTTGGCCAACTAACCTCGAATTTACGTATTTTTTTTTCAAAAATGTATGTACATTCATGTAGATCAGTTACTGCATAGGTACGTTCGGCTTATGCGCTTTTGCTTACACATTTGTGTGTCCATTTTACCACTGCATGTTGTCATCATTGTGAGCTTTGTGTGTATCTGTATACCTATATATATATATATGTACTTTCTGCTTTTTATCATGGAAGGCGCATATTTTCCTAAAACACCCTTGTCATTATTTCTGTGTATGTGGCTTTTGCTTTCAAAACACTTCTGAAAAAGGAGTGTGATCACGAGCCGACATCATTTAGAGGACGGCTGGAGTATTGGACAGATGTTTTATCCTGGTTTGGGACTCTTCAGTAGAACCCATCCTCATACCTTCGAACCCAAGACTCACTGGTCGTAGGGTGAACTCGTGGGTCATTGAGCTTCTGGGTCCCGATCCAATGGTCCATGACTTCCAACTCGTGCTTATTCGTGATATTTGGGGCAACCTCCAGCGAGCAACTGGTCTCTTATCTCACTGGAGAACCCCTCTGGATACGATTTCTCCCTGGAACTCCAGGAAGCCTGCTGTATACAGCCAGTAGCTAGTGAGTGTTAGACTAATTCTTGATTTGCAGGGATTCCATTCTTCTGAAATTTAAAAATGTAAGCCGATCAATAGTACTTATCTTTCACTTTTTGAGACACATTTAACAGGTTACGTTTTTAAAAGGCTTAGCTCCCTTCTAACTTCTGCCAATTCATGACATAGCGCGACCGCTAGCCAACGTCTTCGGCGAGTATTTGTCTTCACATCCTACCTGCTGCTGCACCCTACTGGTCACAACTTCCCACCTAGAAGTCCAGGTAACTACCTGCCTGAATTGGGCAAGTCGCTAGGGAGTATCTCATTGATATTCAAGTATTGGTCTGTATGGATTTGATTGATTGGTTACAGGATCTCATCATGAGCTGACAATGGTTAGAGAACCATTGGAAGACCTGAAAGGAGTACTGGAGAGCTGTTTCGTCTTAGTGCTCACTGGTGACTGACCCTATTCAGGTAGGTAGTTACCTGGGTTCCTAGTGGGAAGTCGTAACCAGTAGGGTGCAGCAGCAGGTCGGATGTGAGGACAAATACTCGCTGAAGACGTTAGCTAGCTGTTGCGCCATGTCGTGTATTGGCAGAAGTTAGAATTTATGGGCAATTGGATCGGGTCCCGGTGGATTAATGGTGTACGATCTCGCCTTGTAACCAGAAGGTGGTGGGTGCTCACTGCTAAAGGGTCCCAAACTAACCTGATGAAACAGCTGTCCAGTACTCCTTTTAGCTTTTCCAATGTTTCTCTAATCAATATCAGCTCATGATGATATCCTGTAACCAATCATATCAAATCCCTACAAACCAATACCTTGAGTATACTAAATTCTTTTCACAATGATCCATTCCCCTTTGTATCAAGAAGTGACATTATATTTAATAACCTATAAGTTAATCTTATGTTATCATTCGTTTACGTGTTATGTGTTCATCCCATCTGTCAGAATCATTTATGCATACATTGTATGTGCTTGTTTCATGCCTGAGTGAATGTTTGCTTCATAATATCACATCGTTAATATTTGAATGTTTCTGTCATACATTTGCTTCCTGTTTGTTTTGTTGTATTCACGCTGTGTTCATGTGCTCATATGCTTAAGTTGCTCTCTCTTTCTCTCTCTGTCTTTATGAATGTGTTTTTCATTGGCCTTGGTCAACTAATAGATTAGTTGTTTTGTAACAACAGAAGACAAGGGCCAGCCAAACAGATCGTTTATTAAGGAAATCAACACATATTTACATATTATAGATTATTGTTAGCAGAAAGACACGGACTTCTGATTGGTTGTTTCTCACAGAAAGTTAACGTTGCATCTCTTTGTGACTGTTTCTTGAATGTCAGATCATCTATATGTTAACTGTATCCGCCTACGCAAAGCCTTTGTTCTCATTTTTTTCACGATCAATATTGGGGACGTAAACGCTGACATAAATTACTGTCCACCAATTTTGACTAACAGCCAGCTATCACCATAGTTTCATCTTGGTTCGAGACTCTTAATCAGTACTCACCCATAGTCCTATAAGGGACTGAGGTTAACTTATGAATCCAAAGTGTTCAAGCCTCATTGATTGGCTAACTGACTTAATGAGTTTCAACAGAGAACTTTGCACACAATTACATCATTTCAAGTCGTTAAACTCCATGTAGGACACATATAGGACGAACCGTAATGAGCGGAAGTGTGTGGGGACACCTAATCGATATAGTAGATCACAAAGGGTGAACGATTTTGAGTTATAACACCAATAGTCTCCAGCTAACATCCTAACAAACACAACCCAGCAGTGTACACACTCCTCCTAACTGGCTTAAATCAATTGTTGAAGAAGATGTAGTTTATCTGAAACGTGTAATGTATTGGCGCAACACATTTCGAACATTCTAACCACACACACGTACTTGCCATACACAGTCTTTATAGAAGGCAAGAAGGCATGAATAACTACAATACAGGTCATACTGTGTACAGGTCAAGGTCACAAATAATGGGTAGGGAGACGCAAAAGATGTCGGTAAGAAAGACAAAAAGCAAGGTGAAGGAGGGTTTTCAAAATATTATGAAGTACATTGGCGTTTGGTTCTAAATTGCATTACCAAGGCAGGTTTAAGGGGACAACAAATAACTTTTGAACCCATAAGACAGGCTAAGGCTTCAACAAATTTAAGTATGTGGCCCAACCTTGTTTTATATATCGGCCTAAAGGCATTGTTAAAATCAACCGTATGACCCGTTTCCCTACAATATGCTTCGCTATATATGATGTTGGACATCTATTTCCGCGGTCAGTTGTGTCTGACAACTTCATTTATTGTTGCAGCCACTTTGCAATGTGTTCTAACCTGCAGAGACCGATGGCTCCTCCCTATGTACGTGTGTCCACACATACATGTAAATTGAGAAACTCAGTGGGATGTGCATGTGGGATAGCATAGTTCTCGTTTTCTCTATGAAGATAAGTTTAGCTGCATAATAATTTCTATTAATTGCGACTTTGAGTCTTTGTCTAGTGACCAGACTTTGTTGATCACCTCTGAACGGCAAGGATATGTAAACATCCTTTTTTGGAGCTGATTCGATTGGTAGAGCTCTATGATGGTTGACACTTCCTTAACGTCTAATAAATCTCAGTGGGTAATTGTTATCTAACAGTATTTCAGTGAGGTGTTGCCTTTCTTTTTCGTAAAGGGAACTAATTGCTTTAAATTGTTGAAGACTTGATAGGTTGATGTTGGGTTTCGGTTTGACTACCCAATCCTATATGAGTTGACATTGTACTTGTCAAGGAAGGCAGTGGCGTGCCCAGTTGCTGCTGATGGGGATGGGTTTTAGATGCACACTTTTGAAGAGTTCTAATCTGGGAAGAAACAATGTTTGTTGTCAGCATATGGTGTTGTTATCGCCTGATTTGCTTCATGTTAATTGTCTTTCACCGTGAATATATATATATATATTTCATGTATATCATATATGTGTACTGGAGAAGTATGTGTGTGTGTGTTTTAGTGTGTCTTACCTCCTATAAAGTGCGTTTTTTTCCTTCGCTTACTATGATGAACAAAGTTGTTTTAGGAGTAGTCACTGTATGTCATGATGTTGCCAAGTGTGAATACAAATACTAATTGACGATATGAACACTTGATACGTTCCTGGTTGATTATTCCCTGACGTGAAATTAGTAAAATCCAGAAAACTCACATAATAATAATAATAATAATTTGCTTTATTCCAAAAACAGTACTCATGATACAGCAAGGAATTTTCAGCATTCAGTACAATATTGCATCTAGCTTACTCGAAAACGACAAAAAAAAATTAAAAATAGACATTACATAATAGTAATAAAACGATTGTTATAGCAGTTTCATAGCAACATACTGTATGCCATACGGAGAAAAATATGCATAAAGTACAAAATTGTAGTAATAATAGTAATACCAACTAAAATAAAATAGCAGAGTAACAATTAAACGATAGAAAGTGTGACATCATAAAATACAGAAAGATGAACGATGAAAGGGTCGATTCACTGTGCTAATTACATAGTAACTTATAGGTTTCACGTCGAACAGAGTCTTCGTCACATAAAGTACGCGCTAAATAGGGTATTGTAGAATTTCTATACATAGTGGTACGAGCATATAACTTTTTATATTGACTTCTCGTCCTACCTGATGAGATATAAGGGGACGGGTGTGAATAAAGGGGGTGCAGAGGGTCTGACAGTACAGCCTTTGCCCATTTCGTACAGGAATTTATATGCCTCTCGACTATAGTATTAGCAAGCTCATGCAGTGGCAGACCACAAGCTCTACTCACAGCATTTAATACTCTTCGTAATATGATATAATCTTTTTTGAGAAGCCCAGGAAAGATTAATGGAGAGCAATAGAGTAGGTACAATAGGTAAAATACAGGAGTTTAAAAATTGCAAAACTAAAGGTTGGTTGATACCTGATTGTCTTACTAACTTTTTAATGTAGTAGGTAAGGTAGGGTTTAGAAACCTGTAGTTCCGAAATAGGTGGAATAGGGAGAGAGTGAGAGTGATCAAGGATACCATAAATAGACGGCATATTTGGATCCAATCACAAGGCTCGAATAGTAAACGTTAAACAGATGAAGATGTCAAACCCAATCAGCCAGAATCAGAAAAGCAAGATACACCTTCATCAATCTGAAACCAGCTTGGGAAATATTCTCCACTCCGCCTCAGCAGAGAGAACAAGATTCAGATTTTAAACACAAATGTGAAGTCAGTCACTTCTTCTATACGGGTCAGAAAATTAGCTCACGATTCACGCAAAAAGATTTCCAACAAGTTATAGATTCATATCAACAACAGATGCCTTCGCTGGCTCTGTACTGTGAAGATCAAATAGCCAGAAAGAATTAGTAACAAGAAACTGTGGCCGGGAACCGACCAACCAATGGCGATCGCTCAACAAATATGTAGGAGAAAATGGAGATGGCATATGTTGAGGAGGCCATTGAATGACATCGCGCGCCAGGCTATATTCCTTTACTTTCCCAGTGGAGCATAGGACTTCAAGCTAGAGGTTAAAGTTTCGGTAGCAGTGGTGTTTATTTTTATGAAATTGGGTTGCTAGCCCCATGCCCAACCTTCCGCCCTTATCAGTCTTATTACCGGCTTAGCGATGTAAAGGAATGCGTCTGTGTTTCCGGGGATCGAACCCAGGACCAAGTACATGGTCAGCGCCAGGCTACCGCTCGAGTGAAATCCAAACGGAAAGCGACGAGTGGGTCGTCGGTGTGAGGGTGACATGGAGGAGATCGTGCGTGGAGGAGAATCAAAATATGGGAGATTATCTGACAAACAGGCCAGTGAAATGGATTATGCACAAATATCAGACCGATAGACTAATGAGATAAATTTAGGGTACATATCAGTCATCTTAATAGAAATCGCTCCGTCGTCATTGGTAACCTCGAGGCAGATGGTGTATTTGTTCATTTTGATATTCATTATAATCTTATTACATGACTTTCACAATCGATGCAGTTTCTTGTTCAAATCATCCTCCATCTACTAAAATGACCTTACTGTTTCATGAAACAGAAGTCATTGATTAGGGATTAACGAAGCTTCTGTTTGTGATACAAAACAATATTATTATTATTATCTTCTGATTTATTGTGTGATTGGATAACTATAAAATTTCATCATCTTTTTCTTACATCGGTCTTGTTTCAATCATCAACCAATCAGAATATTTATTTTACTCTGACCTAGCCTAATCGCCTACCAATCAGAACAGTCTATTTTCCACTGCCCTATACAGATTTTAATATGGTTAGAAATATATATAAATATAACGTGTTTTTCCTAATAATAATAATTGTATCTTAACAATCATAGGCTAGTCTCTGTCCTGTGATATTCATTTGGCTCAGTGAAGCAGAAGGATACCACGGACAATAAGGCGTATTTAGCATATCAGTTGAGTTGTTCATTGAATGAGAATTATTATACGGTCCATACATACGCCTACTCGGTCATAACAGTTGACGATAGGGCCATAACAAATTGACAACGAGATCATATCAACTGGCTACATAGATCAATAACAGCTTGGCAATTAATTTTAAAATATTCCTAATTACCAGTCAGTGGAATTATCCCAGCACATTGAGGAGTTAATTTTACCGTTTAAATATTTCTTACCCAATTTCCAATTAAATTTGTGGAGTTCTCACCGACTGAATAACTGACTAACTGTGTGTTTTCAACGTGGAGCTTTGTACATAATGGAACAAGTTCAGTTTGCCTCACTCGCCATACCACACTAAAAAGGTAGAGAAAAATAACTCAGAGGAACTGTAATGAGAATATAATGAATCTAAGAGTAAATAAAGAATTTTCGTCGGTATTAGATGGTTAGAGGAAGCCTTATCTGAACCTAGATTTCATGCTAGTTGGCACTCACCAGTCAGCAACGCTCGTATCTGCAACTTTGAAAGAAGTCATGTCCCTCCTTCTGAGATTTGAACCCGCGTCATAGTTCATAAAAAAGGCGTACATTTGCTCCATTGAGACGGATTTTGAACCATGTAAACTGATGTTCTCCACAGATTAGTTCTTAACGTCTTGGGTATCCTACCTGGCTGAATGGAAAAGTTAAACACATTTTACAGATTGATACAAGATTTTGATTCGAATACGCCTAACTCTTTTCCAATCTAATTCTATATCATCTAACATCCCTAGACAAAAAAGGTGATACCTTGGCATGCGTGACACATGTCCTAGCTACCTAATAGATGTAACCTTACAACCTCGTCTATTGATTTCCTTTCCTTATATTAACACCCTACGCTTAACCACATTATATCACTTAACATGTGAGGTATAACACTGTTTAAATGAAGATTCTATTTTATGGGATTTTTTAAGAAGTCTCCAAACATATTAATAGTGTGTACGGTGTCAGTATCCTAAAATCTTTCCTATAGCACTAATTCATTTATATTGACATATATGCATACTTTTCTGTAAAATACCATTTTAGCATATTTCTCTTAAACTATTGTGTAGTTAGCGAAATTATTTTAGCTACTGCTACTGCGGACACTTCGACAATGTCTGAACACTAATATGGTGTTATGATGAATGGTACCAGGTGGTGCATTTCGCCCTATTCGGGACTCGTCAGCTCGATATGCCTGATTCGTCATTCATTGATGATGTTCTCATCGAGACTGTCATCCTACACCCATCGTTTTAAACACCGTGGTATTATTATCCACCTAGACACGAAAACAATCTCTTGTGCTTAAAACAAATAGTCCCTTTTATAAATTTTGATAGCGTTATTAGAAGACGGAGACTATCTGAAAAATGTGATGTATTAGCGCTATACATTTCGAACAATCTGATCACACATTTACTTGTCAAGTCAATATATATAGAAAGGTTAAATTAAACAAAGTGAGAGAAAACGGAATTAAGAATAATTAACACAAACGTTTGGTAATCCAATCAAATAAGGATTATCAAGGTAGGTTAAGACTAATGACAAACTGTTTTTGAATACACAGGGGGGGTGGGCTTAAGTCTATGAATAGCTATAGCCTCAGCGTATTTCAGTAAACGCCCTTGACCGTTTTTATAGATGACCTTAAAGGCTGAGTTAACATCAATCTTATGGTTCATCTCGATTAGATGTTTAGCTATAGACGAATTTGGTAGTCTGCCACCTGCAAAAAAAAAAATCTCCTGCGCAATTATCCCGTGTCTGTGGGGTTCGAGTCTTAATAGGAACACTATGTGTTATTGATGAGTCAGATAAATCCATCTGGTGAGTCCAAAATAGGACACTGTGCGTCGGTGGCACAGTGGTTAGGATTCTGGCCGACCATGCACATGGTCCGGGGTTCGAGCCCACGCCGGCGCACACCTGATATCTATGGTCGGCCTGCAGAATTTGGGCTACCGATATCCACGCTGAAAATTCCATACTTGTACCAAAAATACAGTGTAGAATCAAGCTGTAAATCAAAAAAACAATCAAAATCCTAGAAACCATCAGCTAAAATAAGGTGGAGAAGTATTTTTGAAGGAGCATAGTATCCAAGTATTATTATTATTATTGTTCCCTTGGGTTCCGAGTGGAACATAGGGCTTCAACAACACATCTCCGCTGTGTTCTATTTTCTGCTGTCCTCTTCAACTGGGTCCACGGTGGCCCATAATCTCTCATCTCCTCCTCGCCACACGATCTCCTCTATGTCATCCTCGTACCGGCGACCCACTTGTCGATTCTCATTTGGACTCCACTCAAACAATAGTCTGACACGCGACGTAATTCGACGGCCTCCTCAATGTATGCCCGATCCATCCATCACTATTTTCTCCTGCATATTTATTGAGCGATAGGCGCTTGGTTGGTTCGCTACCAGCTGAAGTCTCTTCTTACTTACTTACTTTCTCTGGCCATTTGATCTTCAATATGGAGTCAACCAACGAAGATGGCGGCTGTTGATAAAAGTTGGCAACCTGTTGAAAATCTTTTTCGCTACACACTAAGTTTCTGACCTGTATAGAAGGACCGTCAAGTTGCCAAAAAAAAAAAGAGCGACTTAGGCCTGTGCAAGAACTGACTGGCGTGAAATCATGCTCTTTTCCACGCTAATTAAAATACTAAGTCGCATCATCCTAGAGATAATGAAAGATGCACTTGATGCAGAACTCCGCCCCCGAACGAAACAAACTAACTGGATTCAGGAGAGGCGAATCATATGCGCTGATCGAATTGCAATTCTACACATCATCATCATCACAGGACAAAGCATAGAATGGCAGTTAAAGGCCTTCACCAGACAACGTTGACCGAGAAGTAATTTGAAAACTACTTCAACACTATGGCGTGCAGTGCCCCAAATCTTCATGAATCTCATTCAACAGCTGACTATATGACAGTCCCTCTCGTGTCAAGTGATCCGAAACAGAAAACTCAGTGAAGGCTTTTGAAGTGAGTAAATACAGGAGTAAAACAAGACAGTCTGCCTATTATCACTCACGATGATATTCTTAATTGTGGTGGAGTGGATTATGCGTCAGATTGTGCGTGGAAGAGAGGAGGCAGAACGACGCTGGACTACCAGTGGTGGTGGCCAAACAAAAACATGGACTCATCAATCCATGAAATCCTTAACAGTTAAACTGAGTCTGGTAGGGAGGGAGATGCAGACTTCCTTCCGGGTTGGGGCCCTCGGGACTCTAGGAATCAATGGCTGGAGACAATAGGTGACATGGCTCAAAATCGTTGTCAATGGCCAGCCCAGATGTATTCAGTCTCTGTAATCTTTCATATATTCCTTTCTACCATTACCCATTCTGTTTCACTCTTATACTTGTCAGACTGTATTGATTCTCTTCACTCATCTTCTTGTCTACCTCTGTGTGCTATTTGGAAGGTGGCAACTGGAACTGCTGCACTTCGGTGCCAAGCTCTATGTTGAATCCAGACAGACCGATATAAAGACTCTAGAAGATCTGGATTTCGCGTGTGGATGATGTATGTCTAATGTCACACTAACTCGAAGACTTGCAAACGCATACAGGACTCCAGGTGAAGACAGAGAAGACTATGGAGGTGGTGAAGATAACCAAAGTATGAACTGTGAATTTTCATTAATTACCCGACCCCTCACGCCGCCTTTGTTTCACTTATTTGTGCATTTTTCGCATTTATTTATTTTGTTTCTTCTTCTTCTGTTTTACAGATCAGAAAACCTGTTCACTTCATTCATTCGTGAAAAATACTCATCTCAAACATCTATACAATCGTTCCAGTCATCATCATCCACGTTTACATCCTCCTCCTTATCCTCAACTAACCCAACAACCACAACAGCAACAACAATCCCAACTCCAGCAACAACAACAACAACAACCAGAACAACAACAAACACATTAACACATTCATCTTCAACGAATAGTAGTTCATCTAGTCTCCCGATCGCATTACAAATCCTCCATGATGATGATGATGAGAATGGTGATTATGACTATATTTATGATAATTGTCTTGATCCTGAACAGCCCATCAATAATCAACAACCAAATAAACAGAATTTAATGAATGGTAAAATTGTAAATCTTTCTACATTTATCCCGTCTACAACTGCTACTGCTATTTCTACAATTACAACTACTACTACCACTTCGCCATCATCTTTCTCTCATGTTTTTCAGCATTTAATCGATCCATTACCACCGCCACCACCAAAACCGCGTACATCATTACGTTCAAGGTAGTTTATGCTTTTATTTTATTATTCTTGTCCATCATTGGTTGAAGTTAAATAAAAGTCTTTTAAATGACCTTGATACAAATCAGGTGGCAAAATGTGATTGGTCATTTCAGGGTGTTATTGAATTTAAACAGTTAAGTAACCAGTGAGAGTTCAGCTTTCATAAAGCATGGGAAATATGTGAAGTGCACGATAACTGCGAAGTATAGTTGTTTTAAGGTTGTAGGTTAACGCACGCTAGACAAAAATTAGGCGATAATAATCGGCTTTATATTATGAAGTTTTTGGTGATCCAATGTCTTTCATTATGATAAAGGTTACTTTTTTGTATTTCCCAATGAATGAAAAACAAAACGATATTGTTGTGTTTACTAATGTTTCGTTATTTAATGCTGCTGCTAATAGCTTTATCAATAAGCTTGACATTAGAATTTTCTTCAAAACATCAGACACAATATTAAGCAACCTGGTCCATATAAAAGACCAAATCCCTAAAGATTATCTACCTAATTGTGTTTATAAAATAAAATGCTTACTCGGAATGTGATCCGACATACATTGGACAAACCTTGCCAGAGAAGAAATGAACACCGTAGACCATCTGTTCGACCACTAAAAAATCCAGTTGTTGAACTAGAAAACCTTGAAAAATCATCAACCATAGATCGTCTACACGCTACGACAATATTGAAATCATCATCCAGAAAAAGCATTTCACAAATCACAAAGAACGTCTAATATCTCATCAGAAGCACTTCATACTGTCAAATGGAATCCAAATTGTCTGGTGAGTAGGAATGTTGATGGACTAAAACAGAATTTGACCTGGTTACAACACCCACCTGCCTTACTCCATGAAATGACAAAATCAACACGAATGTGATAAGCAATTTTATTATGTAAACACACGCCGCTCTTTTATAATTTTACACACTTATCAAATTCAACAATCTTCACTTGGCTTTGTTATCTTTATTAATTGGCCAACTTGACAAGGCGAAAATGACCCCATACTGATGAGGAAGGATGATTAAGTTGTTATATAATGCAAGCTGAAGAGATTTTGTAAATTCTGCTTTAATAATACTACTTTGACAAAGCTATTAGCAGCAGCATTAAATAGCGATACGTCAGTAAAAACCACAACAATATCGTTTTGTTTTTCATTCATTGGGAAATACAAAAGAAAAACTTTATTATAATCAATATCATATATAACCAATACCCGAAAAAAATCTTCAAACTGTTAAAAGTGAACTTGTTGTGTACATATATAGTTGATGTCTTTGTTTTACTATTTAACATCGTTTTTTGTTATTGAATTGAATTTTTGATTTTCCCGTCGATTGTTTGGACCGAAGTGCTCGGTCTCAGGTTGACATGTCGGCTTCTTGTGCAGATGCTTCGACGATGATGTCTGGGCATTTGACGAGTCCCAAATAGGACGAAATGCGCATCCTGGATTCCACTGCTAGCCACCATCCACCAATTGTATACTAATCGTTTTTTGTTGCTCATGGTTTTTGTCCATGTGATCTTCATTATGGAGTCAGCGAAGCAGGCAGCTGTTGATAGAAGTTTTCAACTGGTTTCGTGAAACACAGTCCAAGATTCTCACCCATATCGAAGAAGTGACTGACTCACTTTACATTGGTGTTGAAAATCCCAATCTTGTTTTTTTTGTGCTGACTGTGAGCAGACGATCTCTAAACTGATTTCAGCTAGATAAAGGACTGTGTTACTTTTCCTATTCTACTTTCGACATTGTCATCCATGCCGACTGCGTGTAGCTGAAAAGATGCTGCCGTTGTTGGTGATTAATGCTGGTTGTTGTTGCTGTTTCTATGCTCACTTGAACTCCTATCGTCGCTTTTTCCTTTTCGAGTTTGTGTGATAATAAGCATAAATCATTCAAACGTGAAGTCCAGATCTTCTAGAGTCTTCTTATTGGTAGTCCAGCGTCGTTCTGTCTTCTCACTCCCCCAGTCACTGTCTGATGTATAATCCTGTCCACCACAATTAGGAATATCATTGGTTAAAGTGGGATGATAGCCTTGTCTTACCCTTGTATTCACTTAAAACGTCTCGCTGAGTTTTCAGATGTAGATCACCTGAACCGTGGCATTGTCAGCTGTTGAATAAAATTCATGAAGATTTGGGGCACTGCACACAGTAGTGTTGAAGTAGTTTCCAAATTACTTCTCGGTCAACGTTGTCTGGTGAAGACTTTTTCTAAGTCGATGAAGTTGAGGTAACGGTTTAACTACCGTTCTATGCTTTGTTCTGTGATGATGATCAGAGCACATGATTTGCCTTTCCTGAATACAGCTAGCATCCAATGCATCTTCTATGCACTACGTAGAGGAAATTTGATTGGTCGCTTAATGGTTATAGAGTCCGTCAGTCGTTCGTTCGTTTGAACCACTTTCCCTGTTCGGAAATTTTCACCTTCCCTATATGGTTTGTGAATCATAAATTCACATAGATTATTTTCTTCAAATTAATACATAAGTTATAGAAGATTCACAATAAATAATTGTCTTCTAAATAAATAATTTTCTCAGTGATCGGTAAGACCATTAAAAACAGATTTGTACCTCAGGGTGAAAGTTGGAGCTGTTTTGATGTTCTCTGAGCAATTTCGTTTGTTCCTAGTCGTTGTATAATTGGTATTAAGACATCTGCACTTCTGTTTGGGATGCGTTCTATAAATCCTTTATGAAGATTTGTATCGTAAAGTCCCAACATCCAAGCATGATTCGCTCTACTCCTGCCACGATTCATTTTTCGCTTAATTAGTACCGTTTCGTCAATAGGCACGACGACACTAACTCCCCCCAAGTACAGAAGTAATCCCATTTAGCTTTAGTGAAGCAATATCACAACAGTACTGATACTGTGGTGAGAGCAGGCTGCTAACCAATCGGTAGATATTAATTTGCGTCAATGTCTAAGTCACTAATATTGGCCGTGAGAAAATATGAACAAGGCTGATTCAACAACCAATCACAGTAGACTTAACGTGGGCAAATAAGATTCGCAAAAATACGGCTTAACTTTCCGAGAAACCCGAAACAACCAATCAGAAGACTGTGTTTGTCTGCTTGAATAAGCTATAATAATGTACATGAAATATATATATATATATATATAAATACGTGCTGATTTCCGTAATAATGCGGAGCGATCTGATTGGTTGGTTCAAGGTCACTTGACTTTGGTGTCTATTGTTTATACGAGTTGATCACTGACTGATATCAGTTAGAGAACCATTGAAAATCAGCACTGGAGTACTGGACAGCTGCTGTTTCATCCTAGTTTGGGAATCATCGCCAGTACGCACCCACCACAATCGTTCGAACCCAGGACCTTCTGGTTACAAGGAAAGCTCGTATACCATTCAGCCACTGGGACCCGATTCAATGGCCAGCGCATGAATTCTAACTTCCAACAATTAGTGATTTAGCGGGACCTCAACCACTGTCATGGGTGGGACATCCATCATCACACGTGAAATCTGGATGGACCGCACTGGTCACGACTTCTCACTAGAACTCACTCCAGGAAACTCCATCCTGTAGCCAGTCAGTCACTAGCGAGCATCAGACTAATTTTCTATAGTTTGGTTTGTAAGGGTTAGTTTTGTTTTTACGAAGATCCTGGGTTCGAACCCCACTGTGGTGGGTGCGTACTACCGATGATTCCCAAACTAGGATAAAACAGCAGCTGTCCAGTACTCCCTGGTTCTCTAGCTGATATCAATCCGTGATCAACTAATAAAAACATAACTAACCCTTACAAACCAAACTATAGAAATTCTATTGTTTACTTTCTTGCCTTGATACTTATAACTATTTGAAATATATTTTTCTTTGTTTTTATTTGATTGTACAACCTTCTTTTTTAGCGTAAATCCTTCAGTTCATTTGACTGTGACGCAATCATTTAAAAAACCGCCGCCACCTCCTCCACCAACCACAATAGCTCCATTTTCACCATCTCAACAACCCAAACAAACCTGTATAAATGTGACTCCTCATAAAATGTCAGCATCATCATCATCATCAAAACTTCCTTCAGCGCCTCAAAAAGCTTCCTCTACGCCTACTGTTACTCCTATGACTGCTGCCGCTGCTGTTGTTGTTGTCGCCCCTTCTACTAATAATACCATCTCTTCATTAAATCATGAAAACTATTCATTATCATCATTTCAAAGTAACCCGTCGTCTTTAGGTGAATATTTTGATAAAGAAAATGATACTACTGATGATTCTTTGAGTTTGTTAGCTGATGAATTTAGTCGGTCAACTACATCTTCTGCGAATACTGATCATTGACACATACACACAATTGGTAAGTCTGTCCTTTATCTCAGTATTATTTCTCTGTATTTTTGGAAATATTTTTGTTAATGTTGAATAAGTAACTCGGACCAACAAATTTGTAATAGTTTAGTATCATTCAGACTGAAATGTTAAGTGTGACTGACTGACTGACTGACTGACTGACTGACTGACTGACTGACTGACTGACTGACTGACTGACTGACTGACTGACTGACTGACTGACTGACTGACTGACTGACTGACTGACTGACTGGTTTCAATGTAGGATTTTGCACAAATGTGCAGCAGTTCGAGTTCCCACTCTCGCTCCATGTAGCACGTAAACCAACAGAAGAGAGTAAAGAGAGATTCAAAAAAGAGATAATAAACACAAGTGTGAGGGAAAAGAATCGTAATATCGAAGAACAATATAGTTTCATTGGATATTATAAATCACAAAGAGTAGGTGTATCTGCGCCAGCCATTACTGAGAACGATTTTGAGCCATATCATCCACTCAATGTCTCCAGCTATCATTGGTTTTTACCTTCCTGAGGACCTCAACCACGAAGTCTACACCTTCCTACATGGGTGGCTGATTTAAACTAACTGTTGTGAATTTCATTTACTAATGAAGCCATGTTTTGGTTTGATCACCTTGTGCTAGCGCTTTTCCAACCTGATCCATCTTATGTCAGTGGCTAACACTGCCCGTCGAGGAAGGGGATCGATGGCTAGACTACCATGTGTAACACATGTCCTAACCATCTCAGTCGGTGTAACTTTACAGCGTCGTCGATTGATTTCTCCTCCTTACCTAGCACTCGACCGATGTCTCACTTCAGTATTACCCATACTATTATATCTACCACCTAACACACACGCGAGGTAGAACGCAGATACGTATGATCAAAGGCAGCTAGCCAGGCTTTGTATGTCTTCAACTTTCAATGGCCATGTCTCACTCACAGCCAGCCATAATGGAAGGTGGAGTGAACTGTTTAGCAGTACACACGACCTTTGGTGGACAACCAACCAGATATCACGTTTACTAAGCCAGAGACGGCGTAAACTGTCATATTTGTGCGTCGGTGGCACAGTGGTTAGGACTCTCACCAACCATGCACATGGTCCGAGGTTCGATCCCCTGCCGACGCACACCTGATATCTATGGTCGGCCTGCAAAATTTAGGCTACCGATATCCATGCTGAAAATTCCATACTTGTACCACATATACAGTGTGGAATCAAGCTGTAATCAAAAATAAAATAAAATGAAGATATTTAAAAGAGAATTAATAAACACAAGTGTGAGGTGGAAAGAATAGAAATATGGAAGAACAATGAAGTTTTAGTGGATACAACAAATCACAGAGAATGAATGAATCTACACCTCTACTGATGACGATTTTAAGCCATATCAACCACCAATCGCCTCTAATCACTGGTTTTTATCATCACGAGGACCCCAACCAGTCAATCAGGAAGTCTACACCTTCCTACGTGCCTGGCTGGCTTAAACCAACTGTCATAGATTTCATTGACTGATGAAGCCGTGTTTCGGTTTGACCACCACCACCGCTATTTTCTACCCTGATCCATCTTATGCCAGCTAACATTGCCCGTTGTCGAAGAAGGCGATTGCTAGACATGCGGAATGTGTCGTAACCATCTCAGTCGATGTAACTTCACAACCTAGTCAATTGATTTTCCCTGCTTACCTACCACTCGATCAAGACCTAACCTCAATTTTGCGCTCCCTATGATACCACATAACCTGATACAGGAGGTAGAGCGAAGACACCTATGATCAAAGACAGCTTGCCAGGATTTTTATGTCCTCCACTCTCAATTGCCTGGTCTCGCTCACAGCCAGCCAGTCATAAAGGAGGATGGAGCGAACTGTTGAGCAGTACACACACTTTCTTCGATTGACAGCCAGAAGGATGTGATGTCTACGCCAGAGATGGCGTGATTTGGCTGTATATGCCAAACGAGCCTTCTATAACCATGCTCAGATGTCATCAGCGATTACCCCCGCTGATACTGGCCGATTCAACTCCCGAATAAATGAAATGGTCAACCCACTCTACTAATTCACGAGCTCGCCTTGTAACCAGTAGGTCCTGGATTCGAATCCCGGTGGGTGCGTACTGCTGAGGAGTCCCAAACTAGGACGAAACGGCTTCCAGTACTCCCAGGTTTTCCAGTGGTTCTCTAACTTATGTCAGCTCATGATTAAATCCTCCATGACCGATTAATATCATTAATTATTCCCTGTGGTTCTTAGTGGAACATATGGTTTCAACAGTACATACTTCCATTTCACTCGGTTCTCGGCAGCCCTTTTTAGCTGGCTACTCGATTGCTCAAAGGCTTTCATCTCATCCACGTCTAACTCATTGCTTTTCATTCAGGTTCTGTTCGGCGGCCTGGAGCGTTGTGTCAGGCAACAGTCCTCCCCCCGCATATGTGTCTAATTCATCTCCTAATTTTCTTCGGTATATTTTTTAGTGCGATAGGTTCTTGGTCGGCCCGTTGCTTGCAAAGGTTTTTTCTTACTTACCGCTTATATATGTGTAAAACTTAGGCACTGTGGTAGTAGGTTATTCCATATTAGTCTGTTTATTAGATGTATCACACAGTCAGTGAAACAGTATTATTTACTGGATGACGAGGTTTCAAACACAATTTATTACTATTCATAATCATATCAATCAACTATAATCACACGACTTTGAAACTTGAGTTTTATAGTTCTCTTTGTTCTCGCCTATTTTTCGTCGTAGGGGTAGTGGAGTCATTCCAGATATCCGACTGGACAGGTGTTGAGTCATTTCTATTACACGTGTTTGTAGTAGATTCGATAAACAAAGCTTCTGTTATCAATCTCTCCCTCCCTCTATTCACCCTGTGACATTAGATTTTAAAACTGTCATCTTATCCTATCTATCCTATTATATGGTTGTGTAGTGTGTAATTGCATGTAGTGAGTGCTATAGCTGCTGAACTATTCTCTAGATTTCTTATCTTATTCGAGTCAACTAATCTAGATTTTGCTAGGTTTTTCTACTCGGCTGTTCTGACTGCGCTGTTCTACTACTTTGACCTATGTATTTTACCTGACAATCATTCCAACAGTGTATTAGATAAACTAAATTGTTTTGTTTTAAAGGCTCCACAGGATTGATCCTTTGGTGTTCAGAAAGAAGCAGTTATTAATCTTTTGTTGCCATCGCAACTGGATATCTTTATCCTTTCTTTCATTTAATTACGTAATCTTGGCTTTGCATGCGTCGGTGGTATAGCGGTTAGGACGCTCGCCGACCATGCACATGGTTCGGGGTTCGATCCCCGGCCACAGACTCACTCCTTTACCTCGCTAAGCCAGAAATAATGCTTGTAAAGAGGAAAGGTTAGGCATGAGGCTAGCAACCCCATCCTTTAAAATAAACATTGCTACAGAAACTTCAAGCCACTAGCTTGAGGGTGCCCTATGTTCCACTGGGAACGTGAAGGAAAAAAATTATTATTATTAATTAATTAATCTTGGCTTTAACCTCACCCCTTTGACATAGTGTAATTTTGCTTGTCTCTTGTTTCTATGATTTGAGTTGAGTTGAACTCACTATATGGTTACCTAATTTATTAGTCACTCAGCATCTTACTCATCTCTAGTCTTTATTACGTAACTTCTTTATCACTTTATACATACATTTATTTTGTTTAAACTTTAAGTGCCAGTGTAGAAACTATATAAGCGGAAATTCTTTGAGCACTATTCACTAATTACGGAACCTTCTGTCAACTGACAACATGTAAAATTTGCAAGTATGTTAAAACTTTTCTTTACATAAACCTACGTCATAATTTATTTAGGCTGTAAGCAGCAGCTGAGCTGATGAGAAGCCAACGAAATAAGCAAAGGATGGTACCATATTCTTATTCTGCACAAACCACACTGTTGTTCTTCTTGCTTCTTTCAAAGTCTAAATTGAATGAAAAGATTCACCATTCATTACATTTAACTAATCATATTGATTTCTTTTTTAATCTTATTTTAGGAGAGAACGATGTCGATGGAGTGGAGTGGAAATAGGATGCAAAAATTTAAAAGCAAACCTTCATATTGCATCACATTTCTTTATTATTATTATTATTATTATTACTACTAATTGAAGTACACTTTTTGTATAAAGTAAAATAAAACAAACCGAATTGCTTATTATTATTACTACTGACAATGCTTACAGTTAGTAGTATGGATACAGCTGACAAAAGTTTCTTCCTCTATATAAGCTATTCTACTAGTCAACCAACCAAACACGTTTTTCTTTTCTGTTGTTTTTACTGAAATCTCCTTGTTTGAGTTCTTTTTGTAAATAATTGTACATCGATCTAGTGCACCAAGTCACGATCGATGAAGATAGTCACTAGAGATTAATTATATCATGTATCTTAACTTTATTATTATTACGTAATCAACCCTGTCGCATACTGATTTTATCCCTACTACTGTTGAACAAGTCTTCCATATATCTTTACTATTGTTTGCTGTTCATTCGTTCATTCACTCAGAAAGTATTTCTACACTGTCTAACTGCTTTACTGTGTAAACGTTTCGTTTTACTACACTATTTGTTCAATTGTACAATTGAAAAAAGGCGTGTCAGTTTTGAATCTGTTTGCCCTTTAATTTTTTTTATTTTGTTCGATAGTTTGTTATACTGTAAATAAATAAATAAAGAGATGAGTGAAGAAGCGCTTTGGTTTTTGTGTTGTTGTTGTTTTTTGTGCATTGGCGAAATGTTTGCCAATCAAGCATGCCGTTGTCTAGGGTTTGATTTCCGGCCGATACACTTATAAATCTTGCCTAACTGACTAGCCAGTGGGTTGAGGAAATACACTATCGGAAATCAAACCTGTTAGGCTTTCGTTTCAGTGTATTTGTGTGTAGGTAGAATGGAAGCGGTCAATTATGGTTTGAATTTCTTTAGGTAGTTAGTTGGTATTCTATACCGGGCCTAGAGGAATGCTGCTATTATATCAGATGTTCCATTTGTCTTTTTTAAAGGTTTAAAACAATTAGTCCCTTTTATTAATTTGGATGCGTCGGTGGCACAGTGGTTAGGACTCTCACCAACCATGCGCATGGTCCGAGGTTCGATCCCCTGCCGACGCACACCTGATATCTATGGTCGGCCTGCAAAATTTAGGCTACCGATATCCATGCTGAAAATTCCATACTTGTACCACATATACAGTGTGGAATCAAGCTGTAATCAAAAATAAAATAAAATGAAGACATTCAAAAGAGAATTAATAAACACAAGTGTAAGGTAGAAAGAATAGAAATATGGAAGAACAATGAAGTTTTAGTGGATACAACAAATCACAGAGAATGAATGAATCTGCACCTCTACTGACGACGATTTTGAGCCATATCAACCACCAATTGCCTCTAATCACTGGTTTTTATCATCACGAGGACCCCAACCAGTCAATCAGGAAGTCTACACCTTCCTACGTGCCTGGCTGGCTTAAACCAACTGTCATAGATTTCATTGACTGATGAAGCCGTGTTTCGGTTTGGCCACCACCACCGCTATTTTCTACCCTGATCCATCCTATGTCAGCTAACATTGCCCGTTGTCGAAGGAGGCGATTGCTAGACATGCGGAATATGTGTCGTAACCATCTCAGTCGATGTAACTTCACAACCTAGTCAGTTGATTTTCCCTGCTTACCTACCACTCGATCAAGACCTAACCTCAATTTTGCGCTCCCTATGATACCATATAACCTGATACAGGAGGTAGAGCGAAGACACCTATGATCAAAGACAGCTTGCCAGGATTTTTATGTCCTCCACTCTCAATGGCCTGGTCTCGCTCACAGCCAGCCAGTCATAAAGGAGGATGGAGCGAACTGTTGAGCAATACACACACACTTTCTTCGATAGACAGCCAGAAGGATGTGATGTCTACTCCAGAGATGGCGTGATTTGGCTGTATATGCCAAACGAGCCTTCTATAACCATGCTCAGATGTCATCAGCGATTACCCCCGCTGATACTGGCCGATTCAACTCCCGAATAAATGAAATGGTCAACCCACTCTACTAATTCACTCCTTATTTTTGAGGTAGAAGTGAGTCGATGCAGTCCAGTCCTGAAGCCTCATCATCTTACATTTGAAAGCAAGAGCAGATGAATCGTGCATGTCAGACATTCGAAGATTGCTGCTCAAGGCGTTAAGAAG